TATTTTCTTTTTCAACCTTATGTCGTTAATATATCTACTGGGTCAATCGAGTTTTGCCGTCACTTAGCTGTCACTAAATTTTGAAATAAAATTATAAAATTGAATTAGACTTTTATAAATAATAAAAAAATACTGCAACTTGTCTGTACTTAATCTAAATAGAATCGCTAATGCTCAATTTACAATTAAAATTCGGGAATACTCAAGCATCCAATAAATATGCCACACGTAGCGTCGATTTCTGCCGCCCGTGGCCAACCTTAAATTAGTTGGCCCTATTATGTGGTCTATGGTTGGCCCCTTTGTTTTCACAATTACGAAAGTACATATTTCGTTCGGGCAGGCTCGGCTTGGTTGTGTTTTTATGTTCGCCTGCCATCGCCACCTTTGTGTTGTTCAGGATATTGTTTTTTTTTCAAATAGTGGAATTTATTTTCTAATTTAGTTCGCTCGCTGCCATGGCCCCGCCCTATGCGTCTTTTGCATTACGTCACTGGGTTATACCTTGGGGATGCAATGTAGTAGGTTTTCACTCTAGATCTTTTACATAACAACGATATTGGAGTTATTTCACTTAATTGTCAAGCAGAAGAAGAAAAGATAAAGGAAAAAAGATTTTCTTTTTACGATTCCAAGTAACGGGACAAACAAGCCTGGTGGTCAGCGACACGCCTGTCCATAACAGTTGCAGTGCCACTCAAAGCTTTTAATCGCAAAGATCTTAGGGGCACTGCCACTGTGCCCGTCACCCTGAGACAAATTAACAAGTCCCATGTGCCTGTAATTTCACCAGTACCTTCCCTTCGAATCCAGAACGCAGTAAAGCTAGCTTTACTGTTAAAATCACTCAGATATAATGCCAAGAAAAGTGAGCTGCTAGTTTTCAAGGCGGGGACGAAAACGTATAACACTGTTCCACCAGTTACACAAGATGGTGCTCCTCTCGAGCAAATGAAGCAGTTTAAATACCTGGGTCACTGGGTGACTGATGCGCTCACAGATAACTTAGAGCTGGATAGGGAGCGCAGGGCATTGACGGTGAGGTGCAATGAAGTCAAATTAACTCTTTTTAAGGCCTACAGCCAGACACTGTACATCTGCGGCCTGTGGGTTAATTATACGCAGAAATCCTTCAATGCCCTAAAGGTCCAGTATAATAACACCTTTAGAATGCTGTTACGGCTGCCCCCGTTCTGTAGTGCGTCCGGCATGTGTGCGGGACGCGCGTAACGACGGTTTTGACGCAGTTGTACGGAAACGCATTTCGTCGACCATGAGCAGGATGCGTGGCAGCGGTAACAGCCTTCTGAACACCATATCGAAGGATGTAGCGTGTCCGATATAGTGCCATTGGACCAGAATTCATGTCACCAAGAAGGGTTGGTGACATGAATTCTAATTCCGCATACTTATTGTTAATTTCTATTATTTATTTTTAAGTATTTCTATTTTAGTTATTTTATTAAGTGTACTTGGTACTTGGTACTTGGTGCAACGGGCTGGTATCCGCAACTCGACGACAAAGCGCCTATTTTGCGTGTGGTTTATTAAGTGTAATTTACTAACATATTCCTAAGTTTTTAATTGTTACTAACAAAGTGGATCAATGATTTTAAATAAATTATTATTATTTTTATAAAATGTTCATGATTTGTCGAAAACTTTTTGGGACAATATGAAACATTTTGTAGAGATTTACGTCTCTATAAAAAAGGTACTTTTGTGATTTTTCTCTCCCAATTTCGCACTTCTTCGCCGGCCTTCGCGCCACTCCTATGGCGAACGCGGGAATCGCAAATGCATAAGCATTTCTTATTCATTCTTTATAACAACTTTATTAATAATTATTAATACAAAGATCGAACACTCAGAAAAAACACTCAGAAAAAATTCCTTCGATCCGGTCGGATTCGAACCGACGTCTTCTTGCACACCGTGCCAGACGCTATACCAACTAAGCCACGGAACGAACCAACGGACCTCACGAATTTCTCTATGTGCTTGCGTCGTGTCTTTGTACTTGGTCTTTCAACGACTTTTCCGTTGGTTCGTTCCGTGGAACGAACAAAAATAATCAAAAATAATTGAATATCAATTCAATAAAAATTTAATTAACACAGTGAATAGCGACATCTCTCGCCAGGACTGGTAGCTGTAAAGGTGCTAACTGGGTGATAAATCTGTAATAGATTTCTCATAGATGGCGTACGACTAAAAAGTCGTTGAAAGACCAAGTACAAAGACACGACGCAAGCACATAGAGAAATTCGTGAGGTCCGTTGGTTCGTTCCGTGGCTTAGTTGGTATAGCGTCTGGCACGGTATGCAAGAAGACGTCGGTTCGAATCCGACCGGATTGAAGGAATTTTTTCTGAGTGTTTTTTCTGAGTGTTCGATCTTTTTCTATTAATAATTATAACAAACTAGTGGAGTAATTTCACAAAAAAATAATTGAATATCAATTCAATAAAAATTTAATTAATTAATATTATGTTCCAGTTATTCAGCAAAAGGCGATGCGGTGTGAAGGATATAGACCGTTCTTTGACACGACATCGTAGATATATTCTCGTCCAAGGATGGAAGAAGAAAACTATAACTTACAGGTGATGTAAAACACTGTTCAAATGTTTTTACAGCGCTTTTGGACTTGTATTAAATGTCTTTGACAGCATTTACTCATCATCATATCAGCCAGAACACGTCCACTGCTGAACATAGGCAGATTTCCCCCAAATATTTCCAGACTAGTCGATCGGACGCGGCGTACATCCAACGGTTACCCGCCGCCTTTACCAGGTCATCCGTCCATCTAGAAGGGGGCCGTCCCACTGCCAGAAACGCCCGGCAATTGCTCGATCCGTAGCTCGTTGAGTGACATTGAGCTTTTTTATGAAGATAGTAATTTACTCATTAAAGAGAATATTGAGCCTTACTGTCGACTACGCATGGCATTTCATTTTCACCTTTATGCAACATCCTTCATTTTTGTTTGGACTTAATACTGAATATTGGTTTTCTTTCGGTACATCTAATTCCCTCCATTCTTCTCCAGCACCACATGTCAAAGGCTTCCAATCGTTTATAGAATAGTTATACACAAATACTGAAGTTATAATTATTATTGTAATTTTATCGATAAGTAGTTACCGATAGTCAATACGACACAATGAGTGTTTTATTAATTCTATTTTTTATCATTTGAAAACAACCCGTTGTTGTTTTCGATGAACATTTACTACTTATCTTAATTATTAATGACTATTATATATTCTATTATTTGCGATTAAAATATATGTTCAGACTAGATTATAATTCGTATTGTAGTGATCATACGCCAAGTGTTTTTATCACATGAAACATTGAAAAGTAATGAAAATAAACAAGAAAGTGCTAAATTAATATCCAGTGAATATTGCAATGGGATAAGGAGAGCCAAATAGCTCTCATTACCCGCGTAACATCATAATTGAAAAAGGAATAAAACAGTAAAAACATTTCTATTTTTATTGTGATTTTTAGAAGTTATGCTCATGAGCATAACTTCTAAAAATTGATAGATATGGTGACATAGCTAGTGTAAATACAATGTAGTATCTATGCATTTTAATGCTTGCCTGGGATAATGAAATTTCGCAATTTTTTTAAAGCGCGGTGCGAAAAACATACAACCATCTCATACGACTAAACGCGGTGTTCTACGGGGGCTACCACGGAACTCGAACCTTGTCGAACGTTAACGAAGACATAGGAGTGCCGTTTGTACAAATACGAGCATTGAGAAAGTCCAGTTTAACACCGCTTTACCCGCGGGCTCACAATACCCCACGTTCCCCTATTGTGTGTTTGTCTCAAACAATGTAATGTGGTTGTAGAAAAAGAAAAAACAAAAATGAAAACGAATATTTTTAGCAATTGCCATCAACTCATCATACTGTATTTTCGTTATCGCTCTTCTCATTCTCGCGACGAAAATACAAAAAACATTAAAAAACAGAAAAGAATACCATATCACTTTAGTTTATTTTACCGCCTTTTTTCTATTTAAAAAAAGTAAGCGGACCAGGTAGGTATTTTAGTTGACTGTACGAGTTTTTCTTTTGCCCGTTTACATACTTAGTTCCTTAGAATAATAACGCATAGAAACCTAGCCCGCACACGCTAAGTGAGGCAAATTGAAGCGCGCCCAATGGGTCTACACGAGCGGGCGGGCCTTCAGTGCTCAAGGTCAACTTGCACCGCGAACAGATCAAGAATTTTAGCTAAAAATGACGAAATGTGCGGTAAATGAGTGTAAAAATACGTCAGACAAACATAAAATAGATACTAACATCACATTCCACAAGGAAGTAACGCGTTTCAACTTGTATTTTTATATAAATATTCACTAAAACCGAAAATTAACCTACTACTAAAACTAGCCTACATTAATTTGATTTTTGCTTCACTTGTGACAGTTCGTTTGATATGAAACTATCATTCTATGCGTTATTATTCTAAGCTTAGTTCATTATTAGTAGATAAATTTAAAAGTTTAGAGCATCGGTTAGTAACCGATTTTCATACTTTTAAACTACAGTTATTTCCCAAACATGCTACTAATATTGTATTGAAACTATGTAAACTGGCAAAAGAAAAACTCATACAGTCAACTGTCCAGTGTGGTACACACAGCGTGCATCGCGGAACACTCGGGTTGCACACCAAGGGTTGTCGCATGCGCCATTCTTTATAGAATTTAAACGTTCTCCCTGTGTTTAGAAAATGATGTCAAATAGTAAACGTGTTTATTGTAGTTTACGGTGGTTTGAACTAGTGTGCCTCAAATTCAGAATTGTTCAGCATTTCATTTCTATTTCATAATCATGCGCCCATAATCGAGACACCAATCCGGGATGCGGGTACAAAAATATCAATACATACCTAAATACCTTCGTGGTCGAACGGTTACTACGCTGGCCTACCACACAGGTTAAATTTCCAGGCCGGAAAATTATATTTCCAGGAATATTTGTATAGTCTACATTTATTTCTCTCGTGAGTTAGGGCTTTGTGGTTGTTTTTGTGTGTGTCCATGGCACCCGCGATATAGGGTATTTCCTACTGCAGGGGCTATGAGTGTATCCGTTATTATTATTACTTAATAAATGTTATTTCACTATATAGTACGAAAATACTGTGATGAACACCGTAATTTTTTTCAAATTATGTGTACAACCTGTAGATACAACTAAAATAGTAATGTGACAACCCTGCGCTCCGAGTGAAGTGTAGGCATTCATTGGTGCGCAAAACAAGAAGTTACCCTACTTCTGTTATTGTACTATGGCTATTATGATCACTTTTGTTCGCTTGTAATGATTGCTTGTAATAAATTGCAGAATAATGAACGGAACAATAAATTTCGACAAGTTACACGTCCAGGAACGCATGGCTAAGGCACTCGCGATGTGGGCGCCGCACGGAAATCTCGACTTCGTGATGGTGGATGACGGACCGGCCGATATTCGGGTGTCGTTTGTGAACCAGGATCATGGTGATGGGTGAGTTATCTTATATGGTTATCATGCCAGACAGCCACGCAGAGGTCTCAGGTTCCATTTCCGGATCGGGAGAAATATTTGTATGGCCGATATTTATTTCTCCCGTGAGTTTCCGTGTAATTTGTGGTTGTCTATGTGTGTGTCCATGGCACCCGTGACACAGGATTTTCCCTAGTGCAGGGCTTGAGTGTGTGCGTTATTATTATTACATCTACTTTGGACTCTCTATCTATCTGTTTACAGTAGTGTAACCAATGGCGTATTTACCCTAAGGCCCAGTAGGCCCGGGCCTAGGGCGGCCAATCGTGTGACAAGAAATTCATTGATGATGACATTGACTTACAATTATATGGACGTCGGGTCCGCGCTAAAAAGTGTCCGAACTTATAGGGCGTTAAAATCGTATACAGAGCGTCATTCACGCTCTAGTCTTCGTTTGTTCGACTGACAGCGAAGCAAGCAAAATTAGACAGTACTGCGATGACATTACAATTTAAATTCAACGTTTTAGCTTTTTCATATTCCTTTACATGTCACTACGTTTAAATAGGTTGACTTGGGACATTTTTTTCGTGGTTTTCGTATTAGACCCGTCGTCCATTTATTTGTAAGACAATGGATGATGACAAGAAATAACTCAAAGTACCGAAATATTGTAAAGGTTCACGCACATTATGGCGGACCGCACTGCACCGCATCGTTTAACAATAACCTTCCTAAATCACTTTACTACATTTTATGTATAAAATATAAATATGTTACATACATATGTATATATATAATGTAATTTATAATCACTACATATTATCACTACCGCGACTGTCTGTCTGTCTTGGTCGCGATAAACTCAAAAACTACTGAACGGATTTTCATGCGGTTTCCACCAACAGACAGAGTGCAGCTATTATAGTTAATTAAATTTCTGAATTCATTTCGATAAAAGTTGGCAATAAAGTAAATTCATTACGTAGTCTACCAGTATATGATGAGTGCTGAGAAAGGGGCGGCTGGTACTGACTACATGGCCTGTTGCCTAGAGTGGCCAAGACTGTAAATCCGCCACTGGCTTAGCACTACAGTGCGTGACTTGCTCGAAAAAATAGAATAGAGAATCTCGCGCTTTATGTCGCTCTCGCACCTTGTGCTAGCCCTGCAGCTCGTGTCAATTACATTTTCACCTCACTAGCTCGAAAAGGCTTTCTTTCTCATTAGAAATCTGCGAGCAAAAGCGTATGAACTTCGATCTTGACGACGGACTGTGGTGCACTTAAGTTTTTCTTTCGTTGAAAAAAAAACATAATGACACATTCAACTACGCGATTTGTCGTACATTATTTATGTAATATAAATATAAGTGAAGCGAAAAGTTGTGTGTTTCGCTCGGCAGCAACGTTGTTTTGCGTCTCGTGCCTTGAATGATATTCTGTTCTTACACTCCATCGCTTGCTCAGGTAACAAATTAGACAATTGGTGGGCAAACCTTGTTTGATTAGGGGCCAGAAAACATGAAATTTCACAGGGGGCCAGAATTTAAAAAATAAAAATCAATTGGAAATAATTGAATTAGTGTAGTGTTATGTTATTTTGTGTGTCGATACCGATATAATAATAATAACGCACACACTCAATATAGCCCCGCACTAGGGAAACCCTGTGTCGCGGATGCCATGGACACACACATAGACAACCACAAATTACACCCAAACTCACGAGAGAAATAATTGTAGGCCATACAACTATTTCTCTCGGCCCGGGAATCGAACCTGGGACCTCTGCGTGGCAGTCCGGCATGGTAACCGTTCGGCCACGGAGGCAGTTATAATATATAATCAAAATACATTTTCAAGTGCCATACACTCCTACTTTAGAAGGGACATTGGCGGATCGGATTAATGCCCTACGCGGGCGATACTTTGCCCTTCACTGATTTAATCCATGATAGTTTAAGTGCTAATTACCCAATTATAATCACTTTGAAATAAACAATAGGTAATAATAGTTTTTAAAAGCAGAATTTTCAAAACTAAGTCTTTAAAACTTTAATTTTGGCATGTCAGTTTTTTCGTATAGGCATTTCAGACATCTGGCATCCTAGTTCGACTTTAACGAAGAAAACATATTCTAAATATAATTAAAAATATTTTGTACCTGTAGGTTTCCTTTTGACGGCCCTGGCCGGGTGGTGGCTCACGCGTTCCCCCCTCCGTATGGAGCCATGCACTTCGACAACGAAGAAATCTGGGGAGACAACCCTGAAGGTATTTTATAGCCATATCCAAAATTTCTCAAAATTCAAATTTCTTCATTGTTGAGGATGCGGTATGCGTTTTGATTTACAGGGGACGACGATGACATCACAGATTTCTTCGCAGTCGCAGTGCACGAGATTGGCCACGCGTTAGGACTGTCTCACTCTAACGTCACAGAGTCAGTCATGTATCCCTATTATCAGGTTCCTGTTGAAAAGCTGGGCATTGACGACATTTTAGGGATGCAGGAATTATATTGTAAGTACTTTTCTTTGTTTTTCTCGAGGAGCGACTTTTAGTACAAAACGTCTACTTTCAACTATTCAGACGAAAGAAGGGAGAAATAAATGTGGCGAAAAGATAAAAATATCACTCGTTCAAATCGATACCGGCACGAAAAGTCTACTTTTGAAAAATGACCAATAAAGTTTATTTTAGTGACAGTGTTGTTTTTAATGTGCGATGTAATACACTTGGAATAAAAAACACAAAATAAGTTAAATTATAGCTGTTAAAAGCCAAAAATAAAGCTCTTCAACAAACAAGGTCCGCTAGTTCGTTCCATGGCTTAGTTGACATATCGTTTGGGACGGTTTGCTGGAAGACGTTGGTTCGAATCCAGCCGAACCTAGGATGTTTTTCTAAGTATTGGATCTTTGTATTAATAATTATAACAAATTAGTGGAGTAATTTCACAAAAATAATTGAATATCATGGTGGTCAACATCGTAATATTCAATAAAAAACAAAAAATTACAATTACTTAAATTATATTTATTACCAAAATGGTCTCCACTCAGCTTTTGTAACGAGTCGTTGGAAAATGCCTAGTTACACTGGTTTTCAGCGAAGCCGGTTAAAAAACAAAGGTGATGTCACTTCGTCCAAATCAAAAGTAGAAAAAGAATAAAATATTCAATAAACTTAACTAAATTAAGATAAAAAATAGTAATTGCAAACCGGCGAAGTTTCTGTGAATCCTCTGACACGATACATTTTGTTCTTCCGGCGGCAATGCCAATTCTATTATTTTATGCCAATATAAAAGAGCAACAAAGCGTGGATCCATCACAGACGAGCGATTGCATTCTGAATATTGAGGCTATCCGTCTTGTAAACGCATGAAAATGCATCGAGTGAACATCCCGCTGTCTATCCGATTATAATCGAATACTTTAAAAAACGTGCAGGACAATGCCGTGTGAACCAAGGCTTTGGTACATAATTTGAGGATGATAACAGAAAGGACTTGGTTGTCTTCCGTAGGTTCACCGTGTTACACGTTGACATAAATGTATTTATAGAATTTAATTTAATGTAGATAGTTGTAGGTTGTTCCCCTTGTTTCTACTACTTAGCACACAAGATTGTAACTAACAAATAATTAATTCTTCTGAGAATAAGGGTCAACTCACACTGGCGTAGAGTCGAAGCGTCGCGACGCGTCATGTTTTTCGCCTATAGCATATACATCTCTATTTTCCCATTATTAAGGTACAAATTTGTGTTATGCAAATATGGAGTCAAGCGCCGATGCGCATCGCCGTGCGTTACTTCAGCGCATCGAGGCGTTAGACGCCGACCACACTGTGATCCGGGTGCACCAATGCGAGTGTCGTCGCGCGTCGCCAGGCGTTGTAGTTGAAAAACACGACGCGACGCGACGCTTCGACTTAGCGCCAGTGTGAGTTGAGCCTAAATGAATTTGAATTATGATAATGAATCCAAACATCGAACACACAGAAAAATTTCG